GGGACTAGTAAACTCCCTCTGCCTGTCAACCCCCCACCTCGCATCCGCGGTGCATTCCGGTTGGGGCTGCCGCAGTTGGTGCCTAGCTACTTCGATTTCAAGGACAATATAGAGATTCTAGACAGTCGCCTCCCAAACCACCTTCTTTTGTGCGGAACTGGGAAAGAGCACACGGGGACGCACCACGCGCTCCGCGACGAGTGCTGCCGCATCGAAAGGGAATCATGATTCGCAATGCAGCTAGAGATGACTCTATACATGCCGGTGGAGGGATTGAAAGCGGATTTAGCCATTAGGCACCCAGACTCGGGAACAGTTTGGCTGTGTGACGTGACGGTTATGAACCCGATGTCACATGATGACCCGACTGCGAGACGAGCCGTCGGTTGGGCTACATCCGTAGCAGCGCGAGAGGAGGAACACAAGTACCAAAACCGGGGGCATGGGTCGCCTTTCTCGCAATGGCAGTGGAGTCTTATGGGTGCTGCTCATTGGCGGTGCTCGAATTCTGCTGCCTCTGCGCTAACCTGGCAGCGAAGTGACTACACAACGCCGAGCCAGCCTCACGGGAGGCCATGAACCCATACAGCTCCTTCCGTCAAATGTTGATCCTTCACGCTGCAACGTGCCCAAGCCAATGCTCTCATTGCTAAGACACTGACGGCCTTTCAGACCGAGGCAACCCCAACAGTCTACTAGAGAGAGCATTTCAAGACGAGGGACATCCTGCACGGGCTTACCTCTGCTTCTATTTATGAAGAAAAAAGTGTGTTGTATTTGACCACCTAAATTAATGAAGGACCACCCGAAAGAGAGTGCGTGCGTGTGTGTGTTTGCGTGTGTGTGTGTGTGTGTGTGTGTGTGTGTGTATGTGTATGTGTGTGTGTATGTGTGTGTGTCTGTGTGTGTGAGTGTGTGTGTGTGTGTGTGTGAGAGAGAGAGAGAGAGAGAGAGAGAGAGAGAGAGAGAGAGAGAGAGAGAGAGAGAGAGAGAGAGAGAGAGAGAGAGAGATGGCCTAGTTTCAGTCCTTAGCCGTTTCTAGGCCTCTCTACCCTAGGATCTAGTCCTTAGCCGTTTCTTGCCTAGTTTTCTTAGTATAAAGCACCTGGATCTAGCTTCCTGAGCTCATTATTCACTGGTGAGTTTAGTTCACTCTCCAAAACCGGCGGCTCGCGCCGGCCGCCGAGAGGTGGCAAGGACAAAGGGAACATCCAGACTATATCATCGTGCAATACTAAGAATGCAGTACAACATGGTCCAGTAGGCAAGCAACGACAGACACTTCAGGTAAGTCCCCAGAATGGGGAGGAAGAAGCAAACACCCGCTCCCAAGGCGGGGGAACCGACTACATCAGCCTCACCCGCCGCCCAAGCCACTGGAGCAGTGACGCGGTCGCAGCGACAATCCCAAGGGGCTCCTCCTCAGCCGCCGTGGCTACCCTGCGGAAAGCCAAAGCGCCAGGACCGTCGTCCAACTCAGGATCCTCCGGCTCCAAAAGGCAGGTGCAGCAGCTCCCACATCGCCTCCGACAGTGCCTGACGGACCAAACTCTGCTGGACTTCACCAATTTGAGGATCGCGGGTGACGAGCTGCCGACCCTGCAGGGCGAGGTGGAGCTGCTCCAACACCGTCGCGAGACGCGTCACGCAACACCCGACCTGGGACAGACACTCCCCGCGCTCCTGATACTCTACTTCACCAGGAGGCTCCCCGCATTGGCGGCCCCATTGAGGTTGTCGAGGAGCGTCGGGCCAGCCGAGATTCCACCACTCCAACTGAGGGTCCCGCGCAGCCCCAGGCCTCTCAAGCTCATC